ACATACATACATACATACATACATATAATGAATATAGAGTTGTCCAGGAAGTATTTACTTTGAATCAGCAGTTAGGGAGGATCGGGAAAGATTTGATGTGTAAGTTGGTACTTCAATTGAGACTTGAAGGACACCAGGATTTCCAAGAGGTAGAAGTGAGGAGGGTGGATATTCTAGGTGTGGGAGACAGCCGGTGGGAAAGGCACAGATTGTCATGTGTGCAAGTATTACCATCCCCATATTATAGATGAGGAAGCTGGGCCCCAGAGAGGTTATGTGACTTACCCACAGTCATAACAGCTAGTAGATGTGCGAACAGAGATTCCAACATAAATGTCCTGACTCTTGGTCCAGTGCTCTTTGCAAAATGCCATGCCATCTAATGAATGAAAGTTCCAATATCCCAATTTGTACATCTAAAAATATAAAACCTTGAGAAGATCAGAGTGTTAAAACTGTTGAAAGGTATGTGTAACCATGTTGATTGTTAGATTTTCACTTTTAATGAGCTAAAATACACACAAGCAAAAAATAATAAAATTATATGACATCTGTATGATCTAAGTAGAGATGCATAGATCCTTTTTAATACAATTCTTGATTTTATAGTCAAGTTGTATAGTACTCGAATTGTTGGAAGCCAGGACTTTAAATTGTTGGGAAAATATACAACTAAAATTATTCACTTTTTTATATATTTAGTCATCTTTCTAGTATTACTATTATGTTAACTGGATAATCTATTGCTGTTGAATGGATTTGTAATTTTCAGCACTTATTTTGACTAATATGGCAAAATCTCAGTTAAATGAAATGTTTGGAGAATGAAATATTCTGAATAATTTAACATTAAAGATTTGTTTGAACCATTAAAATTTTTTTTCTAAATATATTTGTATACTACTCTGTCTTAATAACAAGAGTATGCTGAATGCAATTTAATCTGTGCGTGGTGAGTTAAGATTTCATTATTCTGAGCATGAGTTTTTCTTAAACAGGACTATATGGTGTAGTACTAATGATGGTGAATTCAATTCAAAAAACATTTATTAAATTTTATTTTTAGTTTAAAGTTAAGCATTTACCTGCTGTGCTCAAGTCACTGTGCTTGTGTCTGTGCATAAAAAGATGAGAAATTACAGTTTCTGTCCTCAAAGAGTTTATAATCTGATTAGGGGCACTGCATGTGTGCAGAAGCACCTTCTCGAAAAGGTAAAATTTAAAGGAAGTACCCAATCAAAGTGCAATGAGCATTGATTTTGGAGTGAGAAAATCTGGGTTCAGATTTCAGATATGCTACTTATTATTATATAATCCCCCCTGCAAGTCACTTAACCTCATTTACTTTGCTCATCTGTAAAATGAAGGCACGGAGGACTATGTGAAATTACCTGAAAGCAGGTAATTTACAGCTCTAAATACTGTAAATTTGTACTTTTCTTTGTGGGCTTGGAATCAGCGAAGGAGGCTAACAATGCAGCTGACACTTTGAACTGGGCCTTGAAAGAAGGGAAGGAGTGTGTTCTAGGCATGGTGCAAGCAAATGAATGTTGTTAAGGAGATAGGAAAGATCAGGAAGGCTAATACTCCAGTTTGGCTTGAATGAAAGGAAGTGTACAAAGTGAAGTAATATGAAATAAGTCTGGGAGGGTAAGTTGGAACCAGCTCTTGGAGACCTTTGAGTGCCAGGCCCAGGAGTTGGTATTTTATGTTGTAGGTAATGGGAAACACTGAAGGTTTTTTATGGGGGAAGTGAAGCGGTCAGACCTGTGTACTAAGCAAATCATTTTTGGCAGTATTGTGAAGGAGATATCAGAGATGGGAGAGACAGGCAGTGGTGAGACCACTTAGAACGCTATCCTAACAGTCCAAATTAGAGCTAACAAGGGTCTGACTTTGGTTTTCGTTAAGTAGAAATAAGAGGATGAATGGGAAATAGGTTGTAATGGTAGATTTGGTAAATAATTTCGAGGGGGGATTGAAGAAGCAACAAAGTAAAAGAGGTTTGGTTTAATTAATAATGCCCTGGAGGACTTCTTTAATACATTGCTGCCAGTTGCAACCCCTCTACACTTTAGATGGTTCATTACTTGCTGTGACTTATCTTATATGTTCACAAACATGTACACATTGCTAATCCTTATATATGTTTGCATGTATATATATGTGCACACATGTGTATGTGTGTATACACATATTTGTACACACATACTATATATGTATGTATGTATATATACACATACATATACATACATACATGTGTGTGTGTGTGTGTATATATAGAGAGAGAGATGTATAAAGTATATTATCTCTAACACACATGTGACCAGTTTTTTGGTGATAATCCTCTCTCACCTTAGTTAGGCAGGCTCTTTGGCAATAGTCTTCTTGGTTTGGAATGTAACTCCTTGGTAACTTTACATTTGGGTCTTCAAATTTGCCCTTTGAATAGTAGGGCACTATTTATGACAGGTACCAGATTTGCAGTTCAGTTGGGCCTGGTCTTTGGATGGCCTTATCAGAGACATTCATTTAGCAGGAAGGCCAAATTCCTCTGAATTCACACATAGTTGTTGATTGAACGGTCCCTCTAGGTGACCAGAATGGTTCCTTCACTTTCTAACCTCAAATCTTCAGTAATTTATGGTTCCCCTGATTCAAATTACAGACACTTTGATGAACTGTTCTGGGCTCCAGTTGTCTGTGGCCTCTCTCCCCCACCTTCTTTTTTTAAAGTCCAGGTGTCAGCAGTTGAGTAATTAACAGAATCTTGCTAATGGACTAGGATGCAAAGAATAGTCACAATCAGTAACAGTGTCCAACCCTCAGTGTCCTTCTTCAGTGTTCCAATCTCCCTTATTTCTTTTCACCACTCTTCTGCCTACTGAGCAAAAAGTGCCTGTTTTTCTGTTATTTTGTTTGGTTTTTGGTTTGTGTATTGCTGCCAGAATTTGGTTTTTGAATACTTAGGAAGGAAAGTGGTAAGCACTATGAACTAGGAGAGCTTCTAACAAGTTGACTAACTCCTTTTTTTCCTCTTGTTGGTGGATCCCCTGAAATATAGTTCAAAAACCCCAGTTTAAGGACCCTTGGATTAGATGATCAGATCACTTGTCTGTAAAGAAAGTTCATGCTGCTCATTGTGGGACTAGATCACTTATTAGGTCTTTTCCAACTTTTTGTTTCTCTGATTTTGGAATCAGTGACCTTAAGAATATATATTCTGGTAATTGAGTTTTAAAAAATATATCCATGTGGCCGGTTTCTTGTCTTATTTACCTCTTTCTAATTAAAGTGGGGTCAAAAAAGTTCTGGTTAATCAAAGGTTCCAGTTAGTTGTATTCTGTTTAATTAGATATAACTTTAAAAAAATCCATTCCTGGCTTAATAAGATCTTTCATTTATCCATAGCATTTTGCTCCTTTCTTTTCTCAGAAATGTATGGACTTACCCAGTAGAAACTCTTCAGGTCTTCTCCCTGCAGAGGAAGGATTCCAAAATATCTTTCTGAACTCCCTAGATTTTAGATTAGGCTTTATGTCCTATTGGATCCACACATATAAGGTTCTTCCGTATTTAAGTGTTAAGACTTTAAAATAATAAGAAGAGGAGGCAGTATGGTATAACATGTATTGGGAATTATGAGTTTTCATCTTAGTTTTGCCTATTATCATGGCATGCCCTTGGCATCACCTAACATCTCTAAGCCTCAATATTCTTATCTGTGAAGTGAGTGTTGGAATACTCCTTCCAGTTCTACAGATTGATATTTCTAAGTGATAAATTGCTATATATTTCATGCTTCAGCTAACTGCAGGTTGTTTTTGGTTCATCTCATTTTCAAATAAATAGGTATTCTCTGTTTTTAATAAGAATTTCAAGCTTACAGATTTCATAAAGTTAACAAGGGAATGTAATCTAAAGGCTAATTTTCTTTTTAAAGGCAATTGGGGTTAAGTGACTTGCCCAGAGTCACACATCTAGTGAGTGTTATGTGTCTGAGGTCACATTTGAACTCAGGTTCTCCTCACTGCAGGGCCAATGCTCTATCCACTGCCACCTAGCTGCTCCAAGGTTAACTAATTTTCAAGCCATACTCCACTCACTATATATTTTGGGACCTGTTGTTTTCTGTTTTCTCTCTTCTTCTCTCCCTCTCCCTTCCCCATGTTTCCCTTTCTCTTTCTTTCTCTTTCCCACCTGCAAACTACTATTATGCTCCCATCCACAACATGAAATCTCCAGAGGCATTAAGAGCAGTGGGCTATAGTAGAAAGATCATGGGATTCATTGTAAGGAGAGACCTAGATTCAGAACCTGACTCAGAAACTGACCCTTGGTAAATCACTTCAACCCCCTCAATTTCCTCATCTGCAAAATACAGATAATGTTTATTTACCTACTTCATAAGGTTAAGAATGGATTTTTTTAAAGCTTAAAGCACTACTTGGAAATGTAAGTTGTCATGCATATTGTCCGCATTTAAAATGGAGAAAAATTCAATATTCACTTATTTATGACTGTGTGCTCAGTAGAAATGGGTTTAGTCTTCTTTTCCTCTTTCTCCTAAATTCTTCTATACAATCACTTCTTTCTCTGCAACTCCTGGAGTGGAGAAAAAGAGAGGCATAATAGAACTTAGGTGAAAGGCAAGGTAGAGAGTGCTATGGAGACTGCAAAGAGTTATCTGCCCAGAAGTGAAAGGCGTCAAAGCTCTTGCAGTCCTGCTGTGCTGTTTTATATCTGCAGCCCAGTTCAAGCTTACCTGCTCCATATACTGTATCATTGTAACATAAAGGAGAAGTGTGCTTTATTTTACTTTTATATGCCTCAGTTTAAAAAAAAATGATGAATTTTAATCCAGGTTTCTGATTTTTACCTTGATGTTTTCTTATAAATCTTTTTAAACTTGTCGAATCAAAATTTTGGCTGAACAATTAACATTGTTTTAATGTTCCTTCTATTTGTAATCCTAACTCTGAGGGTTTTTTCCCCCACAGATGGCAGAAAATGAATTCTTAGAAGAAAAGACATTTAAGCAGCATTGTGCAAAATTTATTAAACATTCAGAGGAAATAGGTGATGGATGGGAGTGGAGAAATTCAAAGGTAGGAACAGTATTTTTGTTATTTCATGAAGACATTGTTATGTATTGTTTCCATAAAAATCATTAATTAAATCTAGTGAAGGGAAAACTGGTTTGAATTAGCTGAAAATTAGAATTATAGAATATATTGTAAAAATGTAAGTTCCATTATTTTCAATGTCATACAGCTCTTTGCATTAGGCTAATGACTTGCTTAGTAAAATCCTTAGGAAGCTTATCTTAAATAGATTGTTTGATTGTAAAGGGATGAATGATTCTAAAAGTCCTTAAAATTGTTTCGACTCTTACTTTACTTAGTAATCAAGATCATGAAAAAAGGCATGCTTCAGCTGATGTCATAAAATTTGAATTTATTACATTTTCTGATATATTTGCCTTCATTACTATGTCTACTTAGAATTACTATTGAATGGGTACATGAAAATATTTTCCAGATTATTCAGTGTACATATGTGTGTGTGTGTATTCTCTCTTCTAACTACTATAAGATTTATTATATGAATGTATCTGTACATTTATAATATATATGTGTGTATTTACTTCAGTGTATCAATGGATCTAAGAACTCATCAGTGTGGATTTCTGTTCACTGGTACTAGTTCCACCCTATTAATCAATCAAGAACAATTTAAGAAGTTCCAGGCATTGTGCTGGGCTCTAGCATATAGCCACAAAAGTATAAACAATTCCTGCTCCCAAGGATTGTATAGTCAGTCTATCAGGTGGAAGCAGCATGAATACAAAGAGTAAATACAAAAGGCATATGAAGACATTACCTACAAGTAATTTGGGAGGGAGGAGGTACAAGCAACTGGGAAAATCAGGGACAGCTTTGTGCAGGGGATGGTGTTTGAGCTGAGCTTTGAAGAAAACTTCTCCGGTTGGGAGTGCGACAGTCTGGGCAAAGGCAAGGAGAGATAAGATGTCATGAGTGAGAAACAGCAAGAGGGTAGTTTGGCTATAATGAAGTGTATATGAAGGAAGTAATATGTAATGAGCCTGGAAAGGTAGGTTGTGAAAGGTTTTGAATGACAACAGGGGACTTTGTATTTGATCCAGGATGAATTAGATAGTCCCTGGAGCATGGTGGGAAGGAGGGAAGGAAGGAAGGAAGGAAACAAGCATTTATTAAGTGTCTATCACGTGCCCGGCACTCTGAACATGTTACATATGTCTCGTTTGATCCTCACAACAACCGTGAGAAGTAGGTGCTTTTATTATCTCCTCAGCAGGCCCAGGTTGAGGCCAGATTTGAACACAGTCAAATTTATGCTTTAGAAATATTACTTGGTACCTATGTGGGGGTTGAATTGTGGAGTAGGAGAAGATTTGAGGCAGGGAGATCAATTAGCAGCTATTGTAATGGTTCAGGAGAGAGATCATGGTGACGTGAACCAGAATCGTGGTCACAAATGGAGGAGAGCATAGATGGGAGAGATGTTGTAGAGGTAGAAACAATGTGAGTTGGAAACTGGTTGGATATGTGGAGTGAGCAAAAATAAAAAAAATTAAGGATGTGCACCATTAGTGACTTGATTGATGTTGGTGGCCTCAACAGCAATGGAGAAGTTAGGAAGAAGATTATGTTTTGGGGAAGATATAATGAATTCTGTTTTAAACATGTTGGATTTGAGATGTGTATGGGACATGCTGTGGGGATGTCTAATGGATAGACTGGGGCTCAGGAGAGAAATGAGGATAAGTTATGTGTATTTGAAAGTCATTTGCATAAAAATGATAATTGAATTTATGGGAATTGCTGAGATTACCCAGAGAGTGTGGAAAGAGAAGATGAGAGGGGCAGCTAGGTGGCTCAATGGATAGAGCACTGGCCCTGGAGTCAGGAGGACCTGACTTCAAATCTGGCCTTAGACACATGATCCTCACTAGCTGTGTGACCCTGGGTAAATCACTTAACCCCATTTGCCTCAAAGAGAGAGAGAGAGAGAGAGAGAGAGAGAGAGAGAAGATGACTCAGGACAGAGCCCTTGAATACATATATGTATATATAGGGGGTAGGGCATGGATGGTGATTCCTTAAAGGACCCTGAGAAGGTTCTGTCAAACATATAGGAAAAGAACCAAGAGACAGTATTTTCACAGAAATCCAGGGAAGAGTATCCTGGAGGAGAGGCTGTGGTGAAGAGTGTAGGATTCTGAAGAGAGGTCAGGAAAGAATTGAATGGAGAAAAGGGTGTTGGCTTTGTCAAATGAGAGTCCCTTGGTAGCTGGAAAGAATAGTTTTGGTTTAATGATGAGATGGGAAGTCAGATTGTAAGGGACTCAGAAGTAAATGAGAGGATTTTGGTTTTGAAAAGGAGAGGTATCTATATTATGAAACAATAATTTTCAAAATCATTTGGTATTAGTTAAAAAATTGAGAAGGTACCTAATGGAACAGATTAGGTATACCATATATAGAAGCAAGTGAACATAATGACATAGTATTCAACAAACCCAAAGCTCCCAACTCTTTTGGTTAGGACTCATTATTTCACAAAAACTGCTGGGAAACTGGAAAGCAGTCTAGAAGTTAGGTACAGACTACCTTCTTATAGCATATCAAAAGATAAGCTCCCAGTGGATACATGGTTTAAATATAAAAGTCCACATCACAAACAAATTAAAGGAGTAAGGAAGAAAATACCTTTTGCAATTATCATTAAGTGGAGAGTTTATGACTCAACAAGGGATAGGGAGAATTACAGAAGATAAAATGGAAAAAAAAATTACTCAGACAAAACCAATGCAGTTAAAATTATAAGGGAAACAAATGGGGAAACATCTTTGTAGAACATTTCTCTGATAAAGACATTTTGTTAAAGATATATAAAAAGCTGATATAATTTTTTAGGGACAAGGGTCATTCCTCAATAGATGTGAATGGGCAATTTTCAAAAGAAGAAATCAAGAGTTAAACTTTGATGAAGAGAGTCACTCCACAAAAAGTACAAGCAAAACTGCAGAGAAAAAAAAATGACTTTGCTGGAAGAAATGAAGCAGGAGATTTTTTAAAAATTACATTAGAGTTTTGGGAAAAAATTCAAAGGGGGAAAAACATGTTAGAACAAAATGTAGGAAAGCTTTCCCAAGTAGAGGCCTCTCTGAAAAATGTTTATTGAATTAATTGAATCCTGGGTTATCACTAGACTAAAAGTCTGACAGGGTAGAAGATCTCAGTGTGTTCCAGGGGTTTGAGTCTAGTGGAAGATTGTTTCTGATCCCAGATCCTAACTCTAGCCTTTTAATATTGACACTAATACGCACAGGATTCTTGGGAGTTCTCCAGATATGGGTTGCCTTGAGTTTGACTAGTTGCTTTGAGAACTTCATAGCTTTAGGGTATAGTTGGAATCAGACTTACCAGGTGGCTTTCTTTGGAAAAACTTGTTGCTATTAGAAGCCTCATTTTCCACAAAGCAACAAGAAATTTCCAGAAATGGGGCACTGCCTCCTAGTCTGTTTAAATGCAGGACCAGGATTTTAATACATGTTTACCTTTAGGGCATTTTGTACATATGGAATCATTGAGAAGAAGAAATGTCAAAATTATTTCCATCTGATGTAAGAAAATGGTTATGGAAAGGCATTTTGAAAAAACCCTAAATTAGAGAAATCTTTAGAGGGTATCAAATTTCAAGCACTCATAAATGTAGCTGATTCTTCCTTCACAAAAAATATCCTTTGTTCCTTAGAAAAATCCTAGAACTTCCACAGTGTTTAGAGTTAATGCAGTTCAACTTTTACAGATACAGTAAAGTGTCACTAATTCAGATGAATCGAAAGCAACTTAAATTACTGAAAAGTATGACATCTAGAAGAATTAAAGAAATAGCTTCATTAATATTACTTTTGAGACTATGCAGTCACTTGAATTTGACAAAGAAGGTGTTAGCAAAAATATATCTTGGGGAAAACCTAATTTGGTATAATTCATGTAATAAAAGTTGGCATAGTGTTTTTATAAACATTATCTCATTTGATCATCACAGACCTTGTAAACTGTAACTCTCATGCCTGCTCCACAGCTGAGGAAACTGAAACTAAGAGGGTTGTAGTGACTTATTCCCAGTCACCTGGCTAGAAACCACTTCTTCTGAGGCCAAGGCCAGGGCTCCTTTTTACTCTACCAGACAGCTCTGCATTAATAATAACTAAGAATGAGTGAAAATGCATTTATTAAATATGATGTGCCAGAAATTGTGCTTAGTATAAGGGGTACTGATGTAAGTAAACAACATAGTCCTTGCTCTCAAGGAGCTTATATTCTGGGGGTTGGGGATGGGGTGGGAAGAAAGGCAACATATATGGGGAGTAGTGGCTAGGGAGGAATGTTTTGAACAGGAAAGTCTCAATGATGCTGACTTAAGGCAATTGATTTCCATGTCCTTTCCAGATATGGTAGTATTTGTTCAGTTATTGTTCTTAGAACTAAAGTTGGGAGGTGAGGGAGATAGGGAGGGAAGGATACATCATGAAGATGACCAGAAAGTAGCATGGTGGATCTGGGTCATGGTAACATACAGTAAATGCTCATTAATCAGATGAGAATAATTTATAATTAGTCTATCAATTGTATTTAAACTGGGCCAGTAGAAGTGCTTGGAAGAGGTTGTTCTCTTAAGGATACTGGATCTGCCATATTTTATTTGGTTTCCATTGTGTGTTTGTTTAGCAAATTCCTTTTTCCTGTCAGCCAATCCACAAGGGGATACTAAGACAAAAATAAAAGAATTCCCTATTCACAAGAAGTCTGTTCCACTGGGGAGGCAATGTGGATGTATAGAAATACAAGATGGGGAGGGAGTTCATTCAGAGTTAGGGGAATCAGATAGGGCTCCATGTAGAAGGGGTGCTCAAGCAGAATCTTGAGGGAAGTGAGAGATTCTAGGGGACAGAGGAGAGGTGGGTGTATATTCCAGGCAGGGGGGACAGCCAGGACAAAGAGTAGGGGCCATCTGTGAGTAGCAGAGAAGCTAGCTTGTCTGGATTGTAGAGTAT